ACTATATAGAGAAAACCTGAAAGACTCCACCAAAAACCTATCAGAACTAATCAATGAATTCAGTGAAGTTGCAGGACACGATATTAATATACAGAAATCTGCATCATGTCAATAACGAAGTAGCAGAAACTAAGAAAACAATCCCATTTATGACTACATTAAAAAATACCTAAGAATAAATTTAACCAAGGAGATAAAAGACATATACTCTAAAAACTGTATGATACTGATGAAAGAAACTGAAGAGGACATAACATATGGAAAGATATTCCATGCTCATGGACCGGAAGAACCAATATTGTTAAAATGTCCATACTGCCCAAAGCAATCTGTAGACTGAATACAATCCCTATCAAAATGCCAGTAATATTTTTCAGAGAACTATAACAATTAAGAATTCTAAAATTTGTAGGGGCGCCGAGTGGCTCAGCTGGTTAAGCGTCAGACTTCAGCTCAGTCATGATCTCTCGGTTCACGGGTTCGAGCCCCACATCGGGTTCTGTGCTGACAGCTCAGAGCCGGGAGCCTGTTTCAGATTCTGTGTCTCCCTCTCTCTCTGCGCCTCTCTTGTTTACACTCTGTCTCTGTCTCAAAAATAAAATAAACACTTAAAAAATAAAAAAATAAAAAAAAAAAGAATTCTAAAATTTGTATAGAACCACAAGAGACCCCAAATAGCCGAAGCAATCTTGAGAAAGAAAAACAAAGCTGGAGATATTACAAATGAGATACCAAGATACACTACAAAGCTATAGTAATCAAAACAGTATGATACTGGCACAAAAATGGGCAGACCAATGGAAGTGAATATAGAGCCAAGAAATAAACTCACAATTATATGGCCAATTAACCTATGACAAAGGAGACAAGAATATACAACGGGGAAGACAGTCTCTTCAATAAATGGTGTTGGAAAAAATGGACCGTTACATGCAAAGGAATGAAACTGGACCACTCTCTTACACCATACACAAAAATAAATTCAAAATGGATTTAAGACCTAATCATGAGACATGAAACCATAAAGCTCCTAAAAGAAAACATAAGCATTAATCTCTTGGACATTGGCCTCAGCAACATTTTTATGGATCGTCTCCTCAGACAAGGGAAACAAAAGCAAAAATAAACTATTGGGACTACACCAAAATTAAAAGCTTTTGCATAGCAAAGGAAACCATGAACAAAATAAAAAGGCAACCTAGAAAATGGGAGAAGATATTTGCAAATGATCAGGTAAAATGTATAAAGAACTTAAACAATTCAACACCAAAAAGAGTCCAATTAAAAAATGAGCAGAGGACCTAATCAGACATTTTTCCAAAGAAGATATACAAATGGCCAAAAGAATATGAAAAGTTGCTCCACATCACTCATCATCAGGGAAACGCAAATCAAAACCACAATGAGATCTCACCTTAGACCTGTCAGAATGGCTAGTGTCAAAACGACAAGAAATAACCAGTATTGGCAAGGATGCACTGAAAAAGGAACCCTTATACTGCCAGTAGGAATGTAATCTGGAGCAACCACAGTGGAAAACAGTATGGAGGTTTATCAAAAAATTAAAAACAGAAATACCATATGATCCAGCAATACCAGTACAGCAATACCAGTATTTAGCCAAAGAAAATGAAAACATTAATTTGAACAGTTATATGCACATGAACATCTACTGCAGCATTATTTACAACCGTCAAGATATGGAAGCAACCTAAGTGTCCATCAACAGTTGAATGGAAAAAGAAGATATGGGGTGTATACATATATACACACACACAGACACACAAACACACACACAATCTAGAATATTAGTCATAAAAAAGAATGAGATCTTGCCATTAGTGACAGCACAGATGGACCTACAGGAAATAATGTGAAATAAGTCAGAAAAGACAAATACTGTATGATTTCACTAACATGTAGAATCTAAAAAACAAAATGAACAAAAAGCAGAAACAGGTTTGTAAATACAGAGAACAAACTAGGAGAGGAGATGGAGTTGAGGGGATGGGTGGTATATGTGGAGGGGATTAAGAGGTACAAACTTCCTTATAAATCAAACACGAAGACAAAAAATACAGCATAAGGAATAACATCAATAACACTAACAATACTGCATGGTGACAGATACTAACTATACATAATATTTCATAATCTATGTAATTGTCAAATGACTATGTTGTACACCTGAAATTAATATAACACCGTATGTCAACTATACAACAATTTTTAATTCATGCTTTCAGTTCATCTATCTCATTTCAATTTCCATCAGCTACTTTATCTCTAAAAGAAGCAAATGCAGGCTCTACAGCAGTACTTGTAAAACCGATGTTATGGTACTTACCACATTAAGGTTGATATGAGAAGACCAACGCCCACACAATCTATGAATACAACCCAAAGGAGAAGCTTTATGGTCTCAAAAAATCCCATGTCCAGAACAAAGCCAAATCCTATGGTGGACACTGAAACAAGATTTACATGATAAATTCAGGCACTCTGCTAAGTTCTGGGGGATACAGGGTATAGTCCCTGCCCTCCAGATGCCCACACGTGTAGTGGAGGAGACTGTCAGGTAAACAAAACCCCAAAGATGTGTTTTTTATGTATGTGTGTGTGTGTATATATATTAACAGAGAAATGCAGACTACCTTGGAACACAGAATGGCTACTGAGGTATCTGAAGTTCAGCAGGGTAGTCCCAACATTTAAAACACCACTAGTTCTGGAAAGGCACTCACATATTTAAGTTCAGGTAAAGGTGAAAAAAAATCTTACATTTTACACCTAACATCCTAACGGTAGTTAGGACTGTCACACTACATTATTGTAGAACTTAAAAGTAGTTTCTCAAGTTCACATCGGTATTTTTAGAGCTCTCACTCTGGATTTTGCCTATGAAATGCAAATTCCAATCTTGATATTTCTTTTCACAGTAAGTTTGCATTTGGTATCAATTTTTTTTTTTTTTTTTTTTTTTTTACCACTCCCTGGTAAATAAAGACCCGGAGTGACTCTGTCCTCTCCTTTTCAAAGTTCCAAAGGAACAATTTACTCTGACATCTGCGTGGGACCTTTAGAACCAGAAAGAATAGAACATTCTCTCCTGTGATATTTTTGAGGCTTCAAAAAGGAGAAATAGATTCAAATATCCCAAATTCTGACCCACAATATGTTCATAATAAAAGAGTCTCCAAATGACAAGTTCAATCTAAAACAATTTGTTCTTCAACTCTCTTGTAGAGAAACTAACACTTACCACAGAGCCATACACTCAACAGGACCAAGAAAGCAGGGTCATCTCTGGCCCACTGATCCTTTGTCTGCTTTCGATAATGAAAATTTCTATAAACTCTCTGTGGGGAAGTAAACAGGTAAAGCATCTGCCACGCGGCAAACTCAAAGTCCATCTGCCGAAAACGAAAAAGCCTTCTCAGGTATTTGTAGCGTTTTGCTCCAGCTGTGTGTCTTGCTGCATCCCTGGTATTCAACACTCCATTCCCCTGCACTGGGGAATTCACTGAAGTACTTGGTAACATCTTCCTAGATGGAAGAAAAAGACTCTTTTACAAGTAATCTGAAGAAGCTACTGGCTACCAACACCCCTCTTCTGAGATACTTAGGAGGGATGGTATGTTACATTTCCACCCCAATCCTTGATAAGAGTCAGGGGTCAAAAGCTAATGGAGATGGTTCTGAGGCTTGTTAGGGGCTCAAGAACGCCCCACTGCTCTTGAGGCAAGGCAGCAGCATGCCCATCATAGCACTTACACAGGGTCAGTATGTTTCCCACACTTCACCTCTCTCAATAATCAAGCAGCCCACCCAGGTGGCTACAGTTAACCGGGAGAGAGGAGGCAGGGAGAAGGAAGGAGACAGAGGGGAGGGGAGGGAGAAGAGGAGACAGAAAAAAAGCACTAGGAGGTAAAATGACCCCTTTATGGGCAAAATCCCGTGTTTTTGTTTTTCTTTATTTTCATACAAAAGGAGAAAGAATTCCAAGCAGGCTCCGTGCTGTCAGCAGGGAGCCCAGGACTGGGACTCATGAACCGTGAGATCACCGCCGAAGGGGAAATCAAGAGTGGGCCACTTTACCCAAATGAGCCACCCTGGCGCCCCCAAAATCTTGTGCTCTCAACCATCAAGTCTTTAAGGGAAGAGTTTTTTACAGCCAATTAGAAGCAACGTTATCAACAAGGTAAAAACAAATGGCCTATTCACACAGGTCTATCAGTGCAAGACCATCAAGTAACTCTTTCACTAGAGTGTGATATAAAAACAAAACTGAAGTTCATTGCGTTTTACTCCCTGAATGGTTCAGCAGAAAGAACGGCAGTGGTGGAATCAGTCAGAAGCCTGGCGAGTGCCGGTCACCGTCCAGACCCCACGACCGGGCAGCCCAGTTCCCGGCTCCACTCCCCCAAGCCTCCCGGACACCAGCAGCGCCTCCCCGGGCCCAGGTGCTCTCGTCAGCCCGGGGCTGCGGGCAGGGTTGCCATATTTAACAAAAGCACAGGACGCCGACTTATATTTGGATCTCAGATACAGGTATAATTTTTAGTATAAGGACGTCCGAAACATTGTGTCAGGCATACACTAAAACGACGTCCGTGGTTTATGCGAAATGCAACTGTAACTGGACGTCCTTAATTTTTTCTGGCAACTCTACCGCAGGCTGAGCAGCCGGGCCCGGGTATGGTCACTCCAGAGCCGAGGGACGTCAGGCCGCCTAGCAAAACCTAGCCGCGCACGAGCGGAGCGGTCTTCAAGCCTCACCTGGAGCCCCGCTGCGGCCTCCAAGGGGTCCAAGCTAGCCCGCCACCTCCGCCCCGCAGCCCAGCCCAGCACCCGCCGGGCCTACTTCCCTTCCCGCAACGTAGCCGGCGCCGAGAGCCCGACGCGTCACTTGCGCCCACTTCCGCCGCGCCCGCAGCTTCTCGGGCCCCGTAGTTTTCCGGGGGCCCGCCGGAAGTTGTTGCTGCCGGTTTCCGGTTCCGGCCGTCGTGGGTGTCGCTTGCGTCTAACCCGGTCGCAGCCGTTGCGGACGGAAGCGGGTCTCGGCCGCTGGGGCGGGAGGCGCAGTCATGCCCCGGTATTACGAGGATAAGCCGGAGGGCGGCGCGTGCGCGGGCGTGAAGGAGGACCTGGGCGCCTGTCTGCTGCAGTCGGACTGTGTGCTCCAGGTAGCGCAGCCGGGCGCCTGGGGTGACGTGACGCCGGAACCGGAGAGGCAGGGCCCAGCCAAGGTTTCCCGGTCAGCCTGCGGTGGCGGTCAGGAGACGGGACCCAGAGTTAGAAGTCCTGGGTGTAGGTTACAGCTCCAGTTTAATGAACTTGGGCACATCTGCCCTCGGAGCTACAGCTCCCTCCGGTGTTAAATTGGAGATAAGGAAACCGCCCCTTCAGGCTTTTGTAAACATAAACGATTTCGGTTCAGGAAACATATTAGATGCTGCCTGCCAGTCTGCTAGGTTCAGGAGATATAAAGGAGAGTAAGACAGGTTTTGCGTATTAGGAAATGAAAAACAGAATTACATAAACCTGGTACACTGTATTGACTAGTTGTTTCTCCTTTCTCCGTTCAGTTATGACTGAGTATATGCTATATTTACTTTCTATTGTTTTTGGGTTTCTGAGTTGGAGTTCTATACATTCTTGGAGAAGTTGTAAAGGAAGCAGCTTCATTTTCCCACTGTTTTGTATCTTGCTTCCACTACACTCTCCCCTCACTACAACCACGTCTTCTCAATCTGAATTTAGCGAGGCAAGAAGTGAGGTCCAAAGTTGACTGAGGACCTGGGTAATTTGCTCTTATTTCAAAGGAAGGACAATTACCACAAATGGATATCCATCATAAAGCTGTATCGGTATTTCTACTGATTCATGATTTACATTTGGTTCACTGATTTTAGCAGTCATCTAGACTGCCACTCTGGTGTGTAGTAAAATTTGAGTTGTTAACGAATTTAAGAGGTTCTCTAGTCCAGCTCTTACACAGATAATGAAACTGAGCTACTGGGTATCTCTGTTGTATACTGCCCTGTCCAGAGCTGTTTCCAGTCTGCTGCATCATTGGTGCAAATGTTCAGCCAGCGCTTAGTAAATGCCTGTTAAGTGGCAGGCATGCTGCACTCGTGATACAAAGATGAATTGTTTCAGTTCTACCTTAAATGGGCTTAGTCTAATGGGAAGAACAGACATGTAAGGGGCTAAATTCCTGTAATACGGGCTGTGTAAGCATTCAGTAAATATTTGTTTAATGATTAAAGACAAAATACTATGGGAGCCCAATGGACAGTAGCAAACTCTTATGCTTGAGAATTTGGAAACTTATCACAGAGGAGGTGACATCTGATCTGAGCCTTAAAGGTAGAGTAGTAGATTATCAAGTCAAAGAGTGGGGAATGTGGTGGTTGACGGGAGAGGCTGAAGGAACAGTCAGGGAGATGTGACCAGGAGAAGCTAGTACCGTCTTCGGCCAGGGGGATGGGGAATGTGACAGAAGGCGTGAGAGGACGGTTGTCATGTGCGAAGCCCTTGTATGTCAGAGTGAGGACCCTGGATTTTTCCTAACACTCAGCGCGCATCAGGAAGGCCATAAAGACGAGCCATCAAGGGAATAAAGTGCAGGGTAGGACTGAGAAAAGGAGCTCCAGAGGAGGACACGGAAGGCGAGGAGGCTACCAGGTTGCTTTTCTGCAATAATCGATTCATTTATTTAGTCAGCCTTTGAGTGCCCCGCTCTTAACTCAGGGGACATGCAGATGATTGGGATACGTTTCCTCCTGTGTGGAAATGAGATCTCTGGAAAACTGGAAAACTAGGCAGAGATAACGACCAGGACACATGGCACAGTCTTTGCTTTCTCCAGTTGAGTATGTGGCCTTATTGATGCTGGTCAATTAGGAGGACACGGGGTTTGTAAAAAGCACTTTAAATAGGAGTGTGTTTACATTTTTTTGTTAAATTCATCCTGACTTCAGGTGGAGTGTAAAGGGCAGTACTGAGGCAAAACATTGAGTTTTGCAGATCCAGGACAATATCCTACCTTTTCAGATAACGTCACTGGCAGGTACAGCCTACTCCCCTCCTAGGGACTCTGAAGACCAAGGCAGATTCTGCTGGGGTCTGTGTCTGCCCTGAATGGCCACCTCATTTATGATAAGATTTAGCTCCTTGTATAAAGTTAATGTGATCTTTTGGCAGATGGATGCTGTAGTCTTCTTTGCCAAACTTTAACCCACTGGAAAAGCTGCTGGACCTGATTTTTGGGAGGAATTCAAAATATTTAGTTCTAGAAGCTGCAAAGGGAGATAGTCAAGGAACTGTAAGGCTTTAGAGAAGCCCAGGGTAATGGTGGTGAGGATGTCAACCCCTGTGGGGCTGGAGAGGAGAAGCAAGGAAAAAGCAGATTCAAAAGGCAGCTCTTGGATAGACTTATTTGGATTTTTGGACTCCTGGGGGATCAAAAAGGTTAAAACTATGCCCAAGGAGCCTCAATCACAGCTTATCTCCTTTGTGTCTCCTTTAACAAGCTCTCAGACCTGCTGACTTCATCAGAATGACGTGGAGATGGGGCAGAGAGCTTAAAAGTACAGATTCCACTGCTCCCCATAATAGTATCCTATGTTGATTCTTGAGCACAGCCATGTTTGGGAATCACTGATCTTGACCTCGACCTCAGAAAGCAAATAAGTGTGGGAGTGTATTAGTTGGATATAGGTTCGGGTACATGTTACAGAGATCCAGAATAACATTGGCTTAAACAAGATAGAAAATTCTCTTTTGCTCTTGTGTGTGCCTGTATGTAGGCCCTGGACAGCTCCCCTCAGCCTTCCATAGACCCAGATACTGTTGATCTTGTGGTTTTAGGTGCTGTGACCAGAGAGAGGATGTTATTCTCACATGCAGAGTCCAAGACTGCCTTGCTTCCACATCATCAGGCCAAGACATGATGATATGAAATGAGGGGGGTGGGGGCAAGTCACTTGCCTTTAAGGACCAACCCAGAAATTTTACATTTCAGTTCCTCAAATATTAATTCCATTGGCTAGAGCTCAGTCATATGATCACACCCAGTTGCAAGGGTGGCTGGGGAATCTAGCCCAGCCATATGCCCCACAAGAAAGGAAAAGTTAAATGTTAAGGGACACTGACAGTGTGCCATTTGGTGTAGAGGTGAAGGAGGCTGAATTAACCTCTCTCTCTTAGAATTAGATGGATCTTCCCACTGAGCAGTTGACAGTCTTGTGAAAAAGATGGCATCTGAGATACTGTTTGGGGAAGCATCAGTTTACTGGTCTTTGGTATAGTCTTATTTACTTTTATATTTGCCTTCACATTATTCATGTGGGCAACAAACATCCCACCGGCAGCATCTCATTACAGAGTTTTGGGGAAGAACACAGTGCAAGGAAGCTTGCTTCTCTGTTCTGATTCACTTTTGAGATTCACTGATGTAGGTGACAATTCAGATCTAGAACCTAAGCAGGCAGGCAGACTGGAAAGTGGCAAGATTCCCGAGGATCGGGAATGCCACAGATGTGGTACTCTGTAGCATTTTTCACAGTAAAAGCAAGAAGGGCGACTGGCACTCACAAAATAAAGGTTTGGAGGAGTGGTTGCAGTGTTGGTAGGGTTGAGGTGTCAAAATCTGCTTGAAGGCAAACCCTGGGTGATGAAGAGCTGGTGAAATTGGGGTTACATTTTCCCAGTGCATGAATGCACCAGATGTTTCTATTTAAGTAGTAAGTATTCTAGGTTCCTTATTAACATCTCAAGTGTTCAGTACCACACTAACAACGTTCTGATTCTAGGGCACCTAATTCTGGCTGTTTGAGCTTTTAAAATTAACACTGCACCAGGGTCATTTCATTCTCAGGCAAAATTGCTTGACCCATTTTATGCTGGAACTCACCTTGAGTAGGAAGATTTCATCATTTCTTTTTATATTGTCAAGCACTGCATAAGGCTAATGTTAATAAGCAGTATATGTTTTATTTCTTTAATAGGTAATAATATTAAGGTTTTGAATTTTTTTTTCCTTCACAAATTGCATATCACAGTTTGATGTAATTAAACCTCGGGTAATTCAGAAAATTTAAGTCCAGTCAACTTTTCCCAAATGTCGTTTTATATATTTACATTCCTGGGAGCCAGAACCCCTATAGCACCTCTGCCTGTTACCGTACTCTGGCACTTCTCTACTTTGTGACATGCCCACACTGCCAGTTGGCATTTGTATGTGTATACCTTCTTTGCTACCTGGTTGTAAAAGCCCTAAACAGGAATATTTTTTTTTACCCTCCCACTGAACTGATTTGGGACCATTCTGAATTTTTTTTTAAATAAATTAGTCGTCGTGAGGGTTTAGTTAATAGACAAATGAGTAGGATAGGGCATCCAAAGAGAGAAATTTTGCTGCAGTTAAATTTTAATCTTGCCTCTTTGAATTGTGAAGTATATACATTTTTAAACGTCCATTTATCAGTTTCGAGAGAGACAGAGAGAGAAAGCATGAGCAGGGGAGGGGCAGAGAAAGAGGGAGAGGGAACCCCAAGCAGGCTCTGCACTGCCAGTGCCAGGCTCGATCCCTTGACCCATGAGCTGAGCTGATACCAAGAGTCAGACTTAGCCACCCAGGCCCCCCTGAATTGTGAAGTATATTATTGATGCTTCCATGTGTCCAGCATATTTAAACATATGTTTAAATGTGTGAAACATAGCTTTGTTAAAAAATACTTTAAGATTATGAAGAGGTAGTATTAAAATTTTTGTTCCATGTTTACCTTGAAAAAATACTATATTTTAGCTCTTACTTAGTTCTGCAGTTGTAATTTTGTCAAGTCTGGTTTTTAATGTTTCTAGTTTAAGGAATCTTACTATTTAAGAATCAGAAATAAGTGTTTTCTCCTGTGAGCATTCTTGTAGCCGCTTCTTACCTTGATGGCAGGAAGGGATTGGCTTAGTCCAGTTTTCTTCTTAACCTCCTTTTAGCTTTCACTACTTAAAGATGAGTTCATTTCACATCAGGCCCAGGCAGATCTTCTCTCACAGACATGTGTCAATTCTGTTAACATCCCCATTTCCTCTTCCAGTTCTGTTTGGTTGTGCTTCTCATTTTAGAGAACTTGACTATTAGGGGTGGGGTGGGAAGATGCAGAGATGTGTTGGAGGTAAAATTGCCTGCACTAAAAGGATATAACTAAAGGCTTTAAAGCCACTTGATAGGACCTTCCAGAAGGTCCCATCCACACTTCCCACTACACCAGGCCTGATTTCTCATATGTACATGCACGTATATTCATCTATCTTGATGAGTTCTGGAGTGTAAAAATTTTACAAACACTGAAGAAACACTAAAGGAAAAAAGATTCATTATTACTTTCACCTTTACTCTTGCCCATAAAGAACTAATAATACTGGTTGCCAGATTTTTATATAAACATTTGAAACAAACATGTCTTATGGGCACTAGTGTTTTCAAGAACTCAAGGGCACCCTTAAAGTGCTCCAAAATTATTTGATACATTTTTTAATTCTATCATGTTCTCCCTAAGCATCAGCAGGCAAAATGAATCACAAAATATTTTCTTACATAATTTACAACTTTTTTAACTGTTTTAAAAAGCACTACTTTCAGAAAGATAGTTATTTTGTACATTATGAGGAAATTTCCCACGTATTTATATTGTTTTCTGTGTCCTAGGAAGGAAAATCCCCTCGACAGTGTCTGAAGGAAGGAAACTGCAAAGCTCTGAAATACTCATTTTTTGAATGTAAAAGATCAATGGTAAGAGGCTATAGCTTTTGTAAAGCTTATGCTAAATTAACCATGTGAATGACCTAGCAATTACATATAGGTTGCGAGATCATTCAGAAAAAAGAATGTAGATAATATTATTTATATATTATTCCTACTTTGACACTAGAAAAAACTGTCTAGAGAACTTCTGAATGGACTAATAGATTCTTACAGCCTTTGTCCAAGACTGATTTCACTATTATTCCTCTAAGATGCCAATTTGCCTTATATATTGACTTTAAAACCTTCCACCTACCCCACCACCCTTAAAAGAGGCTGCACTGTGAGTGGGTAGTCATCCTGTGAGTAGATACTTTAAATATTTTTAATCCCCAAATGGCTAAGTGTTACTTAATATTTAAGTATTTCAAATACATTTGAATATTCATTTTGAGTTAAAAAAAATTTTTTTTAACGTTTGTTCCTTTTTGATGGAGACAGAGTGTGAACAGGGGAGGGGCAGAGAGAGAGACAGAGAGACAAAATTTGAAGCAGGCTCCGGGCTCTGAGCTGTCCGTACAGAGCCCAGTGCGGGGCTTGAACTCACCAACCATGAGATCATGACTTGAGCCAAAGTCTGACGCTTAATGGACCGAGCGACCCAGGCACCCCTTGAGTTTAATTTTGTGTATGCTGTAAGAAAGTGGTCCAGGTTCATTCTTCTGCACGTTTCTGTCCAGTTTTCCCAGCACCAGTTGCTGAAGAGACCGTCTTTTTTCCACTGGAGAGTCTTGCCTGCTTTGTGGAAGATCAGTTGGCCATACATTTGTGGGTCCATTTCTGGGTTCTCCATTCTGTTCCACTGATCTGTGTGTCTGTTTTTGTGCCAGTACCATACCGTCTTGATGATTACTGCTTTGTAATACAGCTTGAAGTGGGAATTGTGTTGTGCTTTGGTTTTCTTTTTCAACATTACTTTGGCTATTTGGGGGTCTCTTCTGGTTCCATACAAATTTTAGAATTTTTGGTTCTAGCTCTGTGAAGAATGCTCGTGTTATTGTGAGATTGCATTGAATATGTAGATTGCTTGGGTAGTATTGACATTTTAGCAATACTTGTTCTTCCAATCCATGAGCATGTAATGTTTTTCCATTGTTTTGTATCTTCTTCAGTTTCTTTCCTAAACTTTCTGTAGTTTAGAGTGTATAAACTTTTCACCTCTTTGGTTAGGTTTATTCCTAGGTATTTTATGGTTTTTGGTGCAATTCAAATACATTTGAATATTAACCCCTTAATTAAAAGAGTTAAGTTTCCTAGAAGAACATATTTTGAGTATAGTTCACAGAAAAATATAATTTGGATTCTACTTGAAAAGAAAATCCTCTTTGGGACCTTAATTGGAGCTTTTGTTTTTATTGCCATCTTTATTATATTTTTTTTCTTGGTAGCTCTGATGATTGCCTTTTTGATTGTTCTGGAAACCGGTTTACTTCTGTCAAGTAGTGAGACCTCTTACCAAAGCTGTGTCTAATTATGTTGTACAAAATATGATTCATTTATACATTTATTTTCAGTTGGATGCCAGATCAAGGTTCCGAGGAAGAAAAGGATATTGATGCCAACATGCTGAAACCAAAATGAAAACAACAAAGGATTTTCTCTGGTCACTTAAAACAGAAGCCAACATAGGAGACACACTTGCCACATCTGATGGTTTAGACCAGTATTTCTCTCCACAAACAGTGGAGAAAATGGAGGAGTATATGTATAAAGTAAATGATTCTCTTCCGCTAAGTTATTTTTGGAAGAAAAATTTAATCAAACAGCTGGGAGCTGGGAGCATCATAATGTGTATTAAGAATTGTTCTAAACCACAAAAAGTGGAAAGATTGTTATTTTCCAGCTTGACTCTTCAACCAAATGACTCATTTTGTATATCCTTTGTGAATATTATGAAGGCCACTGATGGGACTGTTAAAATGCATAACATGCAGTCTGGGGAGAGAATGTCTGTTGGGAAAGCTTTGGGTAAAGATTTCTACTCAATCTGTCCTATTTAGTTCTAAAATAAATTGTGTTTGATTCCTTGGAGGAGAAATGCTTCATTTGCACCGATTTCACTAAAGTAACAACTTCAAAACTTAGTATCATACAGTAGGCACAGCTGGATGCAAACCTCTGATTGTTACCAGGGCTCTTGTCCTCCATCTTGGGGCGGTTTTTCTCTGTCTCTGGCTTAATGGAGAAGAGGCCTGGCAGCCAAAAGTGCACATCCTTAAGATCCATGATCCAGAAAGAGAGCTAACCTCCTTTTCTGCGGTCCACTAATCAAATCCTACAAAAGCACTACTGTCTTCCCTGGATCACTTGCCCTTGAATTAGACTGGTCCCTGTGGAAAAAGGGATAAGGCCCCACAGTCTTGGCCAGGCTGTGTGTACTGTCTTACACACAGTAATGGGTCACCCCCAAAAGAAGCACATTGGATGAGTGATGGGCCTTATCCCAAAAGGAAAGGATTCAGAGCAAACTGAAACAATAGATGTTCATAGAGAAAGCACGAGTGAACAGCAGGAAATGCTTGGAAAAGTTTAGAATCACAGTAATTTTATTCTGATCACTTAATACATTTGAGACCCAAATATGAATCCAATCCAAGTTTCAACTCTTCAGTGTTGAAGGATTAATGAAGAAGCATAGCTTCTTTATACAGCCATGGTTCTTTGGAGTTGAAGCAATCGAGGTGTTCTGTAGCTCAACTGCTTTTTTTCCCTTAATAGTTTATTGTCAAGTTGGTTTCCATATAACACCCTGTGCTTGTCCCCACAAGTGCCGTCCTCCATGCCCATCGCCCCCCTTCCCCTCCCCCCGACCCCATCTGCCCTCAGTTTTTTAAAGGTTCACCTAAAGTGAGAGTTCCACACTGGTCCCTATTGCAAAGTATCACTGAGGTCTGTTGTGTTTGTGTGGTGGTACTTTTCACTGGGAAAGGGAAAAAAAATTTTTTTTCCAGTCACTCCTGTATACCTGTGTAAGTGCTCCAACTTCTAATAAAAGAACTTTGATAAGAAACTCCAAAATTATTTTATAGAACCCTGTTTTTTAGTAACAGCTTTAGTGAGAACTTCATTTAGAGAAATCCCACATTCCATAAGATTCATGCTTAAAGCATACAATTTTGGTTTTTGTAGTATAGTCACAAATTTGTGCAACCATCACCACCATCTAACTCCAGAACATTCTCAAGGGAAACCCCATACCCATTAGCAATTACTCCCCATCCCTCCTTTCCCCCCAGTTCCCAGCAACTGCTAATATACTTTCTATGTCCACAGATTTGCATATTCTGGACATGTCTTAAAAATGGAGTTATTTGTGGCCTGTTGAGACTGGCTTCTTTGACTTACCATGTTTTCAAGGTTCATCCATATGTAGCATCTGTCCCTTCCTTTTTATTACTGAATACTATTCCATAGTATAGAGAGATCACATTTTATATATCCATTCATCAGTTGATGGACTTTGGGTTTTTTGCATTTTGGGGCTATTAAGACTAATGCTATGACTATTCATGAACAAGTTGTTACATTTCATCTATTTGAGTAATAGCCATTCTACCAGGTGTGGACTGGTATCTAATTGGGATTTTGACTGGCATTTCCCTAATGGCTACTGATGTTGAACATGTTTTCATATGCTTAATGGCCTTCTGTATGTCTTTTTTTTTTTTTTAACTTAAACATTTCTTGAATTATATTTATTCTATTTGAGAAACTATCATTATTTTCAGGTGTTAGATTTTTTTTTAAGTTTTAGGTAACATACAGTGCAATATTGGTTTCATGAGAATTCAGTGACTCATCACTTAAATACAATACCCAGTGGTCCTCATTAATACCCATTACCTATCTAGCCCATCCCCTCCCACCTCCCTCCATAAATCCTCAATTTAGTTTGTTCTCGATCATTAAGAGTCTCTTGAGGTGTGATTCCCTCTCTCGTTTCCCCTTCCCACGTATTCATCTGTTTTGTTTCTTAACTTCCACATATGAGTGAAATCTTACAATACTTCTCTTTCTCTGATTGACTTATTTCACATAGCATAATACATTCTAGCTCCATCCACATCATTACAAATGGCAAGATTTCATTCTTTTTGATGTCTGAGTAATATTCCATTGAATATATTCACTCATCAACTGATGGACATTTGGGATCTCTCTGTAATTTGACTAGTGTTGATAATACTGCTATAAACATCGGGGTGGATGTATCCCTTTAATTCTGTATTTTTGGATCCTTTGGGTAAACACCTAGTAGTGTAATTGCTAGATGGAAGGGTAGTTCTATTTTTAGTTTTTTGAGGAACCTGCATACTGTTTTCCAGAGTGGCTTCACCAGTTTGTATTCCCACCAATAGTGCGAGAGGTTCTCCTTTCTCCACATCCTCACCAACTGTTGTTTCTTGTGTCGTTAACTTTACCCATTCTGACAGATGTGAGCTGGTATCATCATGTTTTTGATTTGTATTTCCTGATGATGAGTGATGTTGAGCATCTTTTCATGTGTCTATAGCCATCCGTATATCTTCTTTGGAAAAGTGTCGATTCATGTCTTCTCATTTCTTAATTGGGTTGTTTCTTGGGTGTTGAGTTTCAAAGTTCTTTATAGATTTTGGATACTAACCCTTTAATAGGTAATGTCATTTGCAAACATCTTCTCTGCAGGCTTTAGTTTTGTTGTTTTAGTTGTTTCCTTTGCTGTGCAGAAGCTTTTTATCTTGATGATATCCCAATGGTTCATTTTTGCTTTTGTTTCCCTTGCTCCTGGCAACATATCTACTAAGAAGTTGCTCTGAAGTTGCTGAAGTCGAGGAGTTTGCTACCTGTGTTCTCTAGGATTTTGATGGTTTCCTGTCTCACACTTAGGTCTTTCAGCCATTTTGAATTTACTTTTGTGCATGATGTAAGAAAAGTGGTCCAGTTTTCCCAACCCTATTTGTTAAAGGGACTTTTTCCCACCGGATATTCTTTCTTGCTTTGTTGAAAATTAGTTAACCATATAGTTGTGGGTTCATTTCTGGGTTTCCTATTCTATCCCGTTGATCTCTGTGTCTGTTTTTGTGCCAGTACCAGATTGTCTTGATGACTATAGCTTTGTAATACAGCTTGAAATCCTGAATTGTGATGCCTCCAGTTTTTTCTTTTTCAGAACTGCTTTAGCTATTTGGGGACTTTTCTGGTTCCATACAAATCTTAGGATTCTTTGTTCTAGCTCTGCGAAAAATGCTGATGGTATTTTGATAGGGAATGCATTAAATTTGTAGGTTGCTTTTGGTAGTATTGACCTTTCAACAATGTTCTTCCAATCCATGAGCATGGAATGTGTTTCCATTTCTTTGTGTCTTCTTCAATTTCTTTCATCATTGTTCTATAGTTTTCAGAGTATAGATCTTTCACCTCTTTAGTTAGGTTTATTCCTAGGTATCTTACTGTTCTTGCAGTTGCAAATAAGATCAATTCCTTGATTTCGTTTTCTACTGCTTCATTACTGGCATATAAAAATGCAGATTTCTGCACGGTGATTTTGTCCTGTGACCTTGCTGAGTTCATGTATTAGTGGAGTCTTGGATTTTCTACAGAAAGTATGTGGTCTGGAAATAGTGAAAATTTGACTTTTTTCCTTGCTAATATGGATACCTTTTGTTTCTTTTGTTTTCTGATTGCTGAAGTTAACACTTCCAGTACTGTGTTAAATAGTAATTATGAGAATGGACATCCTTTTCTTGTTCCCAACCATAGGGGAAAGGCTTTCAGTTTTTCCCCAGTGAAAACAGTATTAGCTGTGGGTCTTTCATATATGGCCTCTAGGATGTTGAGGTATGTTCCATCTATCCCTACTTGGTTGAGGATTTTTATCAAGAAGGGATGCTGTATTCTGTCAAGTGCTTTTTCTGCATCTATTGACAGGATCTTATGGTTCTTATCCTTTCTTTTATTAATGTGGTGTATCATGTTGACTCATTTGCAAATACTAAACCAACCTTGCAGCCCAGAAATAAGTCCCACTTGATCATGGTGAATACTTCTTTTAATATACTGTTGTATTCAATTTGCTACCATTTACTTGAGAATTTTTACATCCATGTTCATCAGGTATATTGGCCTGTAATTCTCCTTGTCAGTGAGGTCTTTGGTTTTGAAATCAAGGTAATGCTGGCCTTATGGAAGAAGTGTGGAAATCTTCTTTCCATTTCTATTTTTTCAAAGAGTTTGAGAAGAACAGGGATCGACTCTTCTTTAAATGTCTGGTAGAACTCCCCTGGAAGGCCATCTGGCCCAGAACTCTTGTTTTTTGGGAGATTTTTTATTACTGGTTCAATTTCTTTGCTGCTTATGGGTGTGTTCAAATTTTCTATTTCTTCCTGTTTCAGTTTTGGCAGCTTGTGAGTTTCTAGGAATTTGTCCATTTCTTCCAGATTGCCCAGTTTGTTGGCATATACTTTTTCATAGTATTCTCATAATTGTTTGTATTTCTGTGGCGTTGGTTGTGATCTCTCCTTCATTCATGATTTTATCTATTTGGGTCCTTTCTCTTTTCTTTTTGATCAGTCTGTCTAGGGGCTTATCAATTTTATTAATTCTTTCAAGGAACCAGCTCTTAGTTTTGTTGATCTGTTCTACTGGTTTTTTGTTTGTTTCTATATTGTTTATTTCTGCTCTCATCTTTATTATTTCCCTTCTCCTTCTGCTGGCTTTAGGCTTTATTTGCTGTTCCTTTCCTAGCTCCTTTAGGTGAAAGGTTAGGATATGTATTTGGGACCTTTCTTGCTTCTTGAGAAAGCCTATTTTGCAATATACTTCCCTATTAGGACTGCCTTTCCTGTATCCCAAAGGTTTTGGACTACTGTGTTTTCATTTTTATTTGCTTCCATCTATTTTGTAACTGCTTCTTTAATTTCCTGGTTAACCCATTCATTCTTTAGCAGGAGGTTTTTTTTAACCTCCATGTAATTGAAGGCTTTCCAAATTCTTCTTGTGGTTGACATCAAGTTGTGGTCTGAAAATATGAATGGTATGGTCTAGATCTTTTT